GAATGTAGATATGAGCAGTTTGTCAACGCAACTCCTCATAAACCGCTGTACACAATTTCGTCAAAATTTGCAGATGTTTATAGATGTACATATTACATGGAAATTACGATTCCTTTATTTTTTTTCTGGGAATTTCAGCACTTCGACTTTAGGAGGGGGGGGGGGCGTGGGGTATGTGAACTTGCTCACTTTTTCTTTCATTGTGCATAAAATTATACATAACTTTAAATCAAATTATATAAGGTCTAATAAAGCCTATATACAGTGTTTATTTGATAATAATTGATCATAAAGAAATTCAATCTGTTTCAGACGCTTTTCTTAAATTATTTTATGAGAGTGTTATGCATGTTTTATTACACACACACCCTTCCTATCACAGGGAAATATCAAGAGTAATATTTATTTTTTTGAAAAAAAATTACTTGCTTTTTTTTCAAACAACCCCACTGAGCTTTCAACATTTGATATTTTCCCTGACCAAATAAACTGCTCGGCATGGGCCACGTGTGTCCGAGCATCTTTTTTCTGTTGAGTAAGCAATGGCTTACATGACTTCTGAGATGCATTTTTCAATAAAAGTAAAATAGGATAATTCTTTCCACATGTGCACATCCCTGTAACGATACATGTAGCACTATTCAGGTAAATGTTTTCATCACTGCGTTTGGCGCGTTTTCTCGACCTGCATGGATTTTTGCTGTACATGAATGTATTCCGTGTTAGTGTATTTTCTATATAGCAGCAAATGCATTCAAAAATAATTTAATTCTCGGTATAGTTCTATTTTTTGTTTAATTTTTTTTTTTTCAAACATGTATTTGGTCAGTTTATGGACTTCTAAAAACTATGCTATCGGAGATGTGTACATGACGACAGCAAGACTAGAAAATCACTCAAGTGAAACAATCGTACAAGGCTATGTATAGCAGGTACAAGTGACCAAAAATGTTCAATTAAAGCTGAACACGACTCGTAAATAGGCATACGCCATTTTCGATAGCATTATCTACGATACATCAATACTAGGGTATACTCGTTGCATTCATTACACTTGACTGCTTTATTGTCACGGGTATCGGCGTGGAATGGCGACCCGTGTTCGTGCTTGAATAACCTTTGTTTATATTTTATTGCAGTTACGTGTTTGAATACTGCACTGACTTATACAAATATAATTGTAAACTTATTTGGTATCTTATTTTTCTGCATTAGACGAAGTATTACGTTATTATTCTCGCTACCGAGTGCTATATAGCATACGTCCGTCTTCTTCGGTGTGTTTTTAAGTTTTGCCCTATTTATAGGGGTCTGCAGAGTAGCGAGACTCGGGAACAAAAATGGCGGAGAGATTCCTTTTACGAATCGTGTTCAGCTTTAAATATGGCGGAATCGAAGAAATATGGCGGACAAAGGCGTACAGGAATGCAGTAAGTCGTACAAAGATGAAAAATGATGGCTTTTTAAGAGTTCATGTCAGCTTTAACTTTTCTATCGTCAACTTCCCTTACTTATACAGTAACATATACCTTCATCACCCGCATACGGGGTGTATATATCTCAGTTGATTCGATACGCAAGAGTATGCTCTACGAATGAACACATTAAACGAGGTGAATTATTGACAAGCAAGTTGATGAAACCAGAATATCAGCAGTTTCATTTAAAGTCATCATTTCATACGTTCTATGGTCGATACAATGACCTTGTCAGCAGATACAATTTATCATTAAGTCAAATGCATATTGACGTTTTCATACTAATTGTTTATACATTGAATTGACAGCGGATTTTTCCGTAATTTCCCGATAATGACAAGGAACATACGGCGTGAGCGGTCAGCAGGGGATGCCCGCTCCTCTATGGCACCTGATCCCTCCTCTGATGTTTCGGAGGGTCGTGCTTGCTCCGCTCCTATTTTGTATTGTTTTATGGACTTTGATATTGAATTCTGTTCGTTATCTCCATATCCTTCATCTAAGTCTACCTGAATCACAAATAAACTTTTGGACACAGTGAAATATTTTATTATTTTCATCAGTAGTCAAGGAATCATTTCCGAATAATAATAGATAGGTATTGACTATTGTTAAGTGATTATATTGTACACTATTGATTAGGAGGCAATTTCTTGGCCGCTCAGTTTATTGCATGCAAAAAGGGGTTCCAATCCTGTTTCTGAATAGAGGATGTCTGTAGAAACAAAGATTGGTAGACCAGTGATGGTTCTTGCATCAGCTAGCTGGACTTTCTCTAGTATTTTCTATATCATAAAGTGTACATCCGTCCCAGACAACTGAAGCATATTGGAGATGGGACCTAACAAAAGTTGTGTACATTTTAAAATGAGAAATTTCTCAAAGAGTGAATTTAAGCTTTTTAAAAGGCCAAACCTTTTATATGCAGTATTTACAACGCTACATGTATCTATGTATTCAGACCAGCTTAATTCTTCTGAAAAAGGTTATCCTCGATGCTTGTGTGAAAATTAAATTTCTAACTGACATTGTAGAAAGTAAAGTTTAGGAAGCTTAACATCTTTTTAAGGGTAAAAGAAAACAGCTTTAGTTTTGAAAGGGCTGAATTTGAGTAACCATTTTCAGACCATTGGTTTAAATTATTTAGATCATTGTTTATGTTATATTCTACACTGGCAACATTTAAAGAAGTGACAAAGAATTCTGAAGAGAATTATCATCTGCAAATAAACTTCATAATGACAACATATTTTTTGAAATATCATTGCATAAATTAAAAAAAAGGTGGGGGACCAAGGACAGAGCCATGTGGTACCCGGCATTAATAATCGTGCTAGAAGATAAGATATCTTTATACAATACTTTCAGGCTCCAGCTGTTCGTAATAATAGTTAAAACATTCATAAAAATTGTCGAATATTCCCTACGTCTGCAGTTTAAAAAGAAAACCCTTATGCCAGACTCTATCGAAAGCCTTTGAGAGATCGCAGAAAAAAACAAACATGACTTTCCCACATCGGTACTTTTAAGTATACTATGACATATTTCCAAAAATCGAAAACAGTTGAGTGGCCAGGTAAAATACCCGCCTTATACTTGTAGAACAAATTATTTGCATATAAATGGTTATACACGTATTTAAATATTACATTAGAGGTTGCTATTATTATTATACCCCCCGCTTGAAAAGCGGGAGGGTATATAGTAATCGTTAATTCCGTCCGTCTGTACGTCTGTCCGTCCGTCCGTCCGTCCTTCCTTCCGTCTGTCCGTCCGTCCGTCTGTTACGCTTTGGGGTACCCATCTCTTATCCGCAACTCCTCTCATACCACTGAATGAAATTTGATACAACTTTCACAGAATCTTTATTGCATATAGCTATTGTGCATCTCCTATTTTACTTTTTGATCCGACACATATTTTGGGTTTCCCGGCCACAGGAAAACATGGACTTTTTCACCAGTTATAACCATATGGGAGGCGGGGGGTATCATTTAGTGAGCTCATCGCTCACGGTACCTCTAGTTTTTTTGGCTTTGAAAGACTATATTATTTAAAAAGTTAAAGCCTCTGTTATAATTAATCAAACAAAACACAAAAGAACCAAGGAAGCAGACGTTAGAGCATAATTCTTCTATGTGCTCTAAAATTCGGATGTGTGTTACTTTAGATATTATATAAGAAAGCTAAACATTGTCACTCTGTGATCAATTACATCTTTATACATCAATTTTGCGATAATTTGATACTTTTCCACATAAACGTATTCTCTGTTCTTACAACGGTGGTGGTTCCGAGAATCCAATAATCTTTTACTTGTTTTTGTTGTTCATCATAACAAGAGACGTTTTTATATCGTATAAGTGATATTCTTAGCGAGACGCTAAATCACCCCCCCCCCCCAAAAATGATATTTATTTCAGCAAGAGGTAATTTTAAAGACTTTATAATATTTAGAAAGATGTCTTTTACAACCGATAGGGTATAAATTGCTAGCAGTATTTAATTTTAGCGATCTCAATACATTTGCTTTTAATGCCAAAATTGAAACCTTGCTAAAACTCTGCTTATGTGCTTTTCAAATTTTATATTCAATTTCAATTTGTTATTTTGTGTCTTCTTGTTACACACCTTATAAGGTACTATCAACTGGATAAGTACTTGTTTTGAGTAAAACTCCCTTCCCCCCAAAAAAGATACACAGAAATGCTAAGCTTTTAAAAGTTACATATATCTGTTAGAGTTATTTGTGCAGAACTTTCTCTGAATGTGCTTTTCGATGAGAGAATGATAAATGTCCATTTTTAACAAAAAAACGAAGGAAATACTGAAGGCATAGTTATTGTTCACATGGGTGTCAAAGACTGCTGAAAATCCATTTTGTATGGCCTAGCGAGATTAATAATGAATGAAGCTGATTTCAACTTTTGTTATATAATATATCATAATTTGGGGCGGTTTACGCGTTATAAACTGCGATTCTTTATAATTTAATATCAATATTACTATGAGACAATTTTCCTTCCAAAAAAAAAATGGTTCAAATTGATCATATTTTAAAGGTAACGTCAAGCGGAGTAATTTGTTTTATAAGTTACTCAATTGCGACGTAGGCAACGTATGGTTTACGAAATGAGTGAAATTTTTAAACCAATCAAATATGATATACAATAATGATATGTTACAACTTAAATTGAATTATTTGTGGATAACTTTATCCAGCGTTTGTCTTTCTGTCCGTCTATCTTACACCTTACATCTTACATACTGAGAACTGTATGAGAAATGGATTTAATATTTTGCACATACAAGGGCTGTTTAGTAAATAATGTCGTCAATACTCGGAAAGAAACAAAACAATGTCTTACGTATGTAATGATTTAACTTCAATAATCTCCTTTAATCAAACCACCTGTCCGTAACATTTTTTAATTCAAATTGTTTTTAGAACAGATTTTTTCAGTATGATCCTTCAAATGCTGGAATATGGCATTACCACAATTCATCAGGAGAGTTATGTAACGTCACAGTACCCATTATTGCCGAAAAATACCACATTTTTCTTTGTCATGTCCAAAATATAAGTTTATTTAAAATAATTTCTATATGTATCTCTGCAATGTTCATTCAATTAACATGAGATATATTTTTCATTTGAAACAAGTCCATCTCCACTTACTTTCGGGCTAAAAATAAACCCCGTCCATGACCTTGGAGAAACAGGAAGTAGAGTACCCATTATTGCCGCTTATATCTTTTCCTCATTATTCACCAACTAATCGCTAAATAACCCAACTATTTTTAAACTCATGACATAAAAAGACAGAAAAATGTCTCCAATGTAAAATTATTTAATTAAAAACGCAATTTTAATGTTTTATTTTAATTTTTAGTGACCTATTTTTTTCGATGTTGCTACGACCTCGTGCGCAAAAATAAACATGGAGAAACATGTGCTTTGCAGCTTTATCGGAACTGACAATGTCCGCAGCGCTATTTTTCCAAGTGAACGCAGTATTATGAAAGATAATAGAGAGAGAAGTATATGCCTCATCGGCTGCAGAGCTTTTGCAAACACTTTTTAACCAGTTTTTGCGTATATTTTGCTTGTGAACCAGCCTTCAAATATTCCTTTCAACATAGTACGGGGCTCCGTGGTTAAGCCGAGAGGCTTGAGCCCCATGGCGTACTTCCACATCGATGGCAGTAAACGGATGTCATTGGTTAGTGTCATCTTGATATTTTTGAATAATAAGAAGTATTATGTTTTTCATGTACATTAAAATATATCTAGAAAAAAATTCCAGCCCCACTCCCACGCACCTGCACCTGATATAATGCACCCGAACTGCAAGTTTGGAGGTTTTGTATTGTGGTGTCACTTCTTCGGCTCCATGTTCGTTCGTCCTAGAAATCGTTCGCCCGATTTCCCGTTCGCCCAGAGTCCGCTCGCCCTAAAACTTGTTCGCACAGGGTCCGTTCGCTCTAATTTAAGGTAGAATAAAATCTAACGAATTTCTTTCCATATTTTTGGGTACATTCGAAATAAAACAGACCTTCAGACGTTATGCATATTGTCACAAATGGTCACACGAAATGCATGATCTATCAAAGTCCTGATAGACTTTGGAGATTTTTTTTTTGAGATCAAAGGGAGATTCTTCAAAGGTAAAAGCTTCAACATCCGCTGTTCATTTCTGTAATGGACCTATTAACCTGATTAACGTCTTAGTCCTTTAATTTTTTTTTCAAAACATAGCGCAATTCGTAAAAATAACACGGATGTATCCACCTAATTAACATTGATATTAATCATATTAATATTAAATAACCTAATTAACATTGATATTAATCATATTCTATTCTATTCTATTAATCATCTAATTAACTATAGGCCTAGTGCAAACACTAAGTCATACAAAAAATTAGAATCAAATCAAAAATTAATAAAGACTAAATAAACATTGTTCTTCATATCAGAATTTGAGAAAAAATATCCCAAGTCCGTAAAGGAAATGAATAGGAAAAATTATATATGTTATTTTTTAATTCATATGAGTTTATATATACAAGTATATATAAGTATTGGGCGAACCACATATGGGGCGAACAAGATATTGGGCGAAAAATATTTCGGGCGAACGGACTCTGCGCGAACGGACTCCCGCGAACAGGTAGATCGGGCGAACGAACACGTTACCCACTTCTTCAGCGAGGTTCTGTTACTTGGACGTTTTTAATAATAATAAGTAATATGAAATGTTGTTGAATTAGGTATAATTTTTAATATTTTTATGAAACAAATCAATTAGACCTCTCCCCCATCCCAACCATTATGCAACAAACTTCATGCAATGAACATGATGAAGGAAATCTTTAGGAAACTATCAACCTTGACGAAAATAATTTTGGCAACTGAGAGTCACAGGAATCAGTGTAGGTAAAATTGTTTACTTTATATGTGTTCAAGAATTTATCATGATTCTTTATATTTGTTGAAGGTCCTTTTCATGTGAATTCAGAAGTTTTCGGAATAAGACCAGTGTCATAAGACTAGTTAGTGCTTTCCAGAATATATGCACATGCTGGCAGAGTATGTTATGACTGTCAAGAGGAGCTTCGTTGAGGAGGATGAGAGATGTGCAAAGGTATAACGGTACCATTTAAACAATAATTATGACATCCTGTGTTTTCGGTCAATATCACTTGCCATGAGTCCTTATAACCACATATTGACCTTTATGAAGTCCACAACTGTATAATATGAACTGGGAAAGGTTTTATGAATCTGTCAAGTAGTTGATTTTTATTTTCCGTTACAATTGTGTTTAAAGATATTTAAAGTTCTTAACAACTAATCTTCAGTATGTACTGTTAATGTTTGAAATAATTTTACCAATCATTTATCAAATAAAAATAACTTATTTGTTTGTTTATTTATTTTGGATTACTGTTCTAAATCCCAAATTTGATTTTTTAGGCACATATCAAGCAGTTGTCCTCACTTTGCCTTGCCAGTGACCAAATGAATGGTTGACTACAGTATCTGAAGAATTTTTAAGGAGTTGAATATCATACAGACCTCTGTCTATGGCTGCTAAACTAAAGCTTGACAGTTTTATGTGAAGAATTAAAAAATATATATAGGAGTATGTAAAGAAATGTTGTAACTGTAAATAGAAGTAACTTTTCATTATTTTCATTTAGATTAAACATATATAAATATACATTGAATAGTCAAAAAGTTGCAAATGTAAACTGTACATCTAAAAGTTTTAGGCTATATGATTGAAATCATTTTGATTATAAAATTGTGAAACGTATCTATGTGTCCATTGTATAGAAAATTAAGGCAGTCAGTTTCAAAAGTTATTTAAGGAATGACTGTCAAGTTAGTAGAGTATGCCAGGATATCAACGATAGTTGAAAATGTGGGATAATTTGCATAACGAGTCAAGCTAACTAACTAGATAGTGATTCCTTATATTTCCTTTTCATTGTGAAATAAAATTGTAAATTTAGTTTTCAAAAATATTAACAAATAGATTCAAATTACATGAGGCCACCCGTGTCAATTTCAATAGCCCCCTCTTATGGATGTCAAACACAAAACAGCCCCACAAGATTTATATGCATTTTGGACCACCTTAGCGTCAGACACAAAGTTGGAAATATTTGAATGTTAATACTAACCTAAGGTACCTTTTGTTTGTTGATATACAGATATACAAGTTGGTTTCATTTTGCAATGCTTGATGCAGAATTTGGATTTAGGCATTTACTATCTATGTCAATTCAACAAAAATTATTTTCATGTATTAAAAAGATTTGAGTTGAATTCGAATATTTTCTGGTACACACATGTATGTTGATGTAGCTTGTCAATGAAACACTTCTAGCATGTTTTTTTCCTTCAAGTTGTCTTTTCTGTTAGTACTAAGGAAAAAAATGTTTTTTGAACTAACATTACATTCCACTTCAATAAAGCTCAGTAAGTAAAATTTTTATGTCTATCATAAGCCATAAAAATTTTAAATACATGTATTTCTAATTCTTCTGCATTCTACACAGGCAATCTTCAGTTAAACATGTATTCCACCTTCTTTAATATTAAATTAAAAAAAAACATTAATTCCACAGAGAAAAATTAGATTGCAAGATTGCAATGCAAATCTAATTTTTTGGTTTGGTTTTTCCCTATGTCTTCCAATTTTTTTAAAAATCTAAATTAACATATCACCTAAACGGAGAATTGTGTAAGTGTGTTCCAGAAATTAAATGTTTTATGATCTATGGAGTATGCAATATATTTTGCAATGCATGTTTTTTTTAATTAGTAAACAATTTAACCCCCCCCCCCCCTTTAGAAGCAGACTGTTAGTAAAACTTGCATTGTTTACATTTGATTTCCAGGTATTACTAATTTTACAAACTGTAAACAATATTTTGACTTTGCTTAACTTTAATTTTCAGGTACTCTCTAAACCATTGGGGTGGGTGTTATCTTGTTACCTACATTGCTTCTTTTTCACAAGTCACAAGATAAACAAATAAAACAGCTTCAAAGTATTTCATTTTCTAAAGTGTTTTGTTCAATTATAAACATGTACATGTACATTTATGGAACGCCGTCACTGCCTTATAGCAGAACACTACTATTGCATTGTGTCAACCTTCCATTACATTATGTCAACTCTTTATGACATTAACCCACACTACTATTGCATTGTGTCAACCTTCCATTACATTATGTCAACTCTTTATGACATTTACCCACACTACTATTGCATTGTGTTAACTTTCCTTTACATTATATCAACTCTTTATGACATTTACACATACTACAATTTTATTTCGTCAACTTGCATTTCGTTATGTTTACTTTTCA